AAACCAAATTATCGTTATACCGTGCTCTGGTGGAAAGACCTCCATATGCTATCTCACTATAATTGTCATTGTCTATCATTATCAGCACGAAATACCTCTCCCATACTCAACTCCATCAGGCAAAATGTGCCTACCTATGGAGTGCTCCGTAGAACACATAGTACTGGTAGCCTTGTAGGCAAGTACCCATGTATATAGTGAGCCATAGACACCACCCACGGAGCTGTAGCTCTCTGTAGCGCTACGTAGGCATATAGAGTATCAGTGAATGCTATCGAGTTGATGCGAGAAGCCTGGGGTACTTGATAGGACGGTTTCTACATATACTATGTAGTCGACCAGCAATATAGAGTACAGTGTAGACAGCGGCTCAGTGCCGTGCTTCAGGGTATTTGGGCATGCGATACTAGTACTATCGAGCTGTAGAGGAGAGAACGAGGGTTGCGTGAGCATTCATTCGTGGCAGGATAAAAGGTAGTCTAGCATTTGTGAGTCTAAGACACTGAGCCTACGTCTCCGCCGGATCACTCACATTCCCTTCCTTGTCACTATCCTCATGCTCACTATCCGTAAGACCTGTCCGGTCCTTGACCGCTGCACGCAACTTCGCTAGGTCCTCCGCATCCAAGCGGCGAGAACTGTCGTGAGTGGCGACAACCCCGGAATACTTTCTGCCATACCCACGATATCAGACAGAGTTCGAATGTGGAAGTTCAGTAGGGGTATGACGTACTGTGCGCGTTTGTAGAGCTTGGCATCATAGTTACGGAGGAAATTGGGATTGGAGTTAGTCGCGGCGGTGATGTCCTTGAGGATCTCGACATAGCGCGGTTTGTACTGTTTCTCCGTGAAGTCGGGCGACTTGACGTAGATACCAGTCTGGTACTCCTCCAAGCAGTACTCAATCTGCAGAACATAGTTAGATGACAACAGCCTTGCATGTGTAATGATACACACCATGGAGAGGATGAAGGCAATGGCATTGGGAGAGATAGGGTCGAAGAGGTCGCCATTGGTGTTACCACGATCCCGGGGCCCGGCGAACCAGCTGGCGTTGATGACATCCTGCACCACCTTGACCTCACCAATGCCGGTGCGAGCCTCAGGGTCCTTAACGTAGTTCAGTACACGGTTGTTGATGTGATATCAACAATGACAACAATAAATACCTTGTACATGAATGCGTTCTTGCATAGAAGGCCGGCGACAAGCTTCTGATTGGCCTTCTTCGCGCTCTTCTTCGAACTGAGAGAGATATTGAATGTGCGCGGGACGACCTCCCGTGCAGCATCCTTGATGTCAAGCCGCGCATTCGATCGGGAGCCCTGGATCTGTTGTAGAGGGCAGTGAGGGCAATGCTACAGTGGCAGAGTAAGGAGTTAATGCTTACAATTTTGATAATACATGGCGCAAGAGTATACTTGTTGGGTATATTATTCTGAATGTGCGCCCATGCCAGGGTGATCTACTCGGCCGTGGGTAGCGAGTCTGGGTAGGGGCCCTGTTGCACCACCATACTCTCGAAGCACACCATTGCGGATATAATCAGCGAATATACTTTGTCTGAGTAATCACGCGCCTTCGGCTTCCCCGTAGGAACTTGACCGTTGAGAAAAGGCGACTCCTGAGTAGCCGTTTTGGTCTCCTCGGTGCCAGCGGCAGGCTGTACGGGAGCCTCGGGTTGCGGTATAGATGCAGGATTGCGTGGGGCCGGCACGGGAGGAGGATTTGCACGACCTTGTTGTGCTGTTGCAGTCATTTGAGGAGCAGGAGCAGGTCCGGCGCGGCGAGTGCGGTCACGGGCGGGAGTCATAGCCGAACTCGCGGTAAGACCAACAGTTGCCTACGAGAGCGTGAGAAAATACGCTCGAGTTACCGGAAACAAGAACAGCATACAGATGCACTGTAACGAATGTGCGTCGAGGTCAGCCTAGATTCCTCGTCACCCTCAGCCGGATCTGCGAATTCGTCTAAATTGAGCTCATGAGCTGGCAGTCAGGCTGTTGCATTACAGAAAAATTACAGCCAAGTTCCTCGAGATTCTTGACAAGCGTATCCATACGGTCTGCGCGTATCTCGGCGTCTTCCTCAGTTTCACGTGCGAGGTTCTCGGGTAGGGAGAAAAAGTCATCCTCTGCACAGTATAATGATTTTACGCCCACGAAACGAGACGAACTAGCACATACCAGCTTCAAGCTTCTCCAGATCCTTGAGGTAACGCGCAATGGCCTTCTTTTTCGTTTGTTCGGCAGCTGCATCTGGTACAAGTCAGTGATAGTTGGCACAGGCATGACACACACGACCTACCTGCTTGCATTGTGTTCTTGGTTACATGAGGGCAGCGCCGGGCGACAGTCTGCTGTTCATCAGTATCACTAATAGGTGCAGAACATTTGTGTATGCAGTTGGAGCCACCAGTTGCAGCAGGGCGGCGACTGGTCTCTTCCTCTGACTCGAGCTCGGCCGACATGAGAGGAGGAGGACAGAGAAATGTGCGGATGACGCGCGGAGTCCCGGGTTGTCACGCGGGATGCAATGAGCCAATACGAGCGCAAGCGTAAGGGTCTATGTCTTATCTAAGACACCCAACGCACGCGAGCTGTCACCCAATCGCCCACCAAAATCATAATCTGAACCAGCTCCACCACTGCAACGCTCGCTACAACTATGTCTCAGCAAACAGCTCCGGATCCGGTCTGCAACTTCTGCCATTGGACTGCAAAGAGCGAACAAGGCCTGCGCTCGCATCTTGCACAAAAGGTGGCCTGCCAAGATAAGCTCGCTCGGCTTATTGAACAGACCATGCGGGCTTCCAACACTGTTCAGCCGCCGAGAGACCTCTCACCTCCGACAGAAGATGAAGACAATGGTGTGTCTTAGCACTCTGCATGGCTGTAGACTCGGAGCTGATCATGTTATACATAGAAGACCTGCAATACGGCGACAATGACCTCACCATGCCCGAAGTTGACTTCGCTGGTGCAGAACAAACTCTGAACAAGCGCGCACGAGTACATCATGACGCGAACACCCTCGGGGAATGCAACACGCACTTTGTTGAACCCTATCCACGAGCAGCAGGACAGCGCCTACGTTGTTCCGAGACCACTTTCGATGCCCAGAAGCGGGAGATGGAGGGTAGCGGACTTCCCCGTTATGGACTGTTCGGGAGTGAAGCCGTCTGGGATGTTGCCGAATGGGCCCACAAGACCTTGGGATGCACTGAGATAGATGACTTCTTGAAGCTCAAGAAGGTGGGTGTTGCTCGCCGAGAAGGTCTTGCGTGCAGTGCGCGTGTTATAAGTCAGCGCTAATCATCTTCCCGCGCATGGTCCAGATTTGCAGCATCGGTCTTCCATTCCACAACAGCTACTCACTGCGAAAGAAGATTGATACCTTGCCCACCGGACCAGACTGGCTCTACAACTCAATAACGCTTACTGGCGACATTGCGGACAAGAATGGGAAGCCTTCAACAGAAGAGCTGGAGTTGTGACGCCGCGATCTGGTGGAGTACGTGCGCAAGCTCATAGGCAATCCAGCCTTGCGCGATGATATGACCTATGCGCCTCACAAGATTTTTGAGGACATGGAGAAGGAGAAGAGGGTCTGGGAAGAGATGCACACAGCAGATTGGTGGTGGGACGTGCAGGTACGTCAACGCGATGTACATGTCAATGTGAGTCTAATTCTTTGTCCAGGGAGAACTGGAGCTCGGGGCGAATGTCGCGCCTATCATCCTGGCCTCGGACAAGACATAGCTGTCGGTTTTCAGTGGAGACAAGACTGTTTGGCCTGTATACTGTACGCTTTCAATATCCCTTCCTGTTCAATCCCGCTATTCTCCCTTGAGCACCATTCTTTCCTTCATACCTACTATGTCCACCTTCGTTGAGCTTGTCAAGGCTACTTTGCTACATGCCTCATGCCCTTCTCGTTATGTTCACCATTGTATGAATATCAAGTAATAAATTATATAGTAACCATCGGCAACATCGCATCCCACAAACGGCGCGAAACATCGGCACATGCCACCGTTCTTGTCGGCTACATCCCCGTCTCGAAGCTGGAGTGTTTTTCCGAAGGCCGTCGGTCCAACGAGCAGCTGAAGCTAGTTCATCAGTGCATGCGGATCATCCTCGATAGCCTGGTGGCCGCCGGCAAGGAGGGTCTCGATATGACCTGCGCAGATGGCTTCTTACGCCGGGTCTTTCCTATTCTGGCTGCGTACATTGCCGACCATCCTGAGCAGTGCCTGATTGCGGGGTGTAAAGAGTCGCACTGTCCTCGCTGTACTGTCCCTGCTAACAAACGCGGGGCACCCACAGACAAGCACGATCCGAAGTCTTGGGACCGACGTGTACAACGTGATACTATTGCGATGCTGATCCTGCACTCTAAAGGCGAGCACCCTGAAGCATTCGCCGAGCAGGGCTTGAAGCCTGTCACGCCTTTCTGGGTCGATCTACCGTACTCGAACATCTTCATTTGCATTACACCGGATCTGCTCCATCAGCTTCACAAGGGATTATTCGGCAATCATGTCCGCAAGTGGGCCGTCGAGGTTGTATAGGGTGGCGACAACGAAATTGACGCGCGGTTTCGCTGCCTCCCGCCACATCCTAGTCTGCGTCACTTTCATCGAGGCATATCGCTCGTCACTCAATGGACTGGTACCAAGTACAAGAACATGGAGAAGGTCTTTGTGGACGTTATTGTCGGAACGAACACCGATCTTTGCGTGGTGATAGCTGTCTGAGCCGTACTGGAATTCATCTACTACGCACATGAACGAACCCTGTTACTCCTCATGGCCGGGTAGCTAGAACGGTAATCGCTTCGTCACCTTGAATATCCACTATTTGTGTTTCTCCCACAGTTCCCAAGCGTACTGAATGTATCGGTCTGAGTAGCCGGAAGAGCAATACCAAGTCTGGTGCAATATCAAGTCCGGCACATCGAGGGTTGTCCAGGGTGAAGTATGACGTAATGAGGGCGATGCGGGCCTGATAGGGCCTGGCCATATGGAATGGGAAGTTTGAGCGGTTGCTTGTCTTGCGCTGTACCCCCATCTACTCCTCCCGCATTCCACCTTCTTCCCAGCCTTCCCCCTTCTCTTGCCCCAGTTTGCGACGACACAGTACCTTGTGCGTTCTCTACAAAATATTTTTTCCCTCCAAAGCGCTTACTGTAGTCTCACTGGTCGTAAGAATCTATTGAGGGCTCAGCTCGGGCTTAGAAAACACTGTCATGAACGTATGACCGGCTGCTGGAAGGTCTCAACCGACATCCGCCCTGATCCCAACTTTCGTCGTGGTTGGCCCGCTGTCTGTCGCTACAGAACATCATCATGTCCACCGGATGCCTCCTACGAAGCGCGCAAGCTCAGCGTCTCCCGAGCCTCCTCATATAAAACGTCTTCTCGGTGTCTGCGCCGTTCGAAGCTCTTGATAAGCGCCGCGCTCGTCATGTGGGGGACCTTGGGGCAGTGCGACCTCAGGCGTCTATCACGACTTGTCCTTGGCTTCCACGACCACCACCATGGACAACGATAATTCTCGCTTCAACACCATTGATACACCGTTTGTCACGGCTTCCGATGGAGAACAGGCACCTGCTCCGCCCTTGATCACAACGAATGCTGTCCGTCGGGGCGCCCTTGTAGTTGATATGGATGAAGCGGCGGCGGGCCTGTGTGGCGAGTCGGTGCGTGCGCGCTCACTTCTCCGTGTTACCAGACTAACTCTGTATGTGTGTCATTGGATAGCAACCGCTAGTAGGGAGTCAACCCGCACCAGGATCACATGCCCCTGACATCCTGCTGGTGCGCCCAGACGCGCGACGCGTGAGTTATCAGATCAAAAATCGTGCGCGATCTGGTGTTCTAATTTCACTTCAGGCTACACCTACTAGCGTAGATATAGCACCCACATCAATCATGGTCGCCAATGTCGCGTTATCGCAGCGTAGCCCGCCCGTTCTCGCTCAGGACGCTCAGGACGCGCCCGCCGGACCGGTGCGGTCCGAGTTCCCCGAGTTCCCTTCATCAACTGACGCAACCTCCAGTACCACCCTTGCCGGTACCGTGAGCACGCCCTCCATGAATGCTCGCTCATCCCAAGCGCTCGCTTTGCTCGCTCGTTCATTGATTGATAATCTCGAGGCCATCGCCCACCACGAGATAGACCGAGTGTATTACGCATGCGTCTATCTCCAAGGATGTGTCGCCCACTATGAAGACACGTTCAGAGTCACCATCCGTGATACGCACAGCGCATATTGTCGTAGTGTTGATGAGGGCGATGAGGCCCGTGACATCGCTCAAGCACGCCTACAGTCTTTGGTCTCACACATCGAGGCATTTCTCCCGACACTTTCTGTTTGCGAGGTAGGGGCCTTCGCTGCTATGAGAGATGCGGTACTTGCGTCTCAGCCGGTGACTGACACTAGCCATGGTGACCCTGGAAACGCAGAAGTGGGGCACGCATCCGTATCCAACGGTGCAGTGGGCGACAATGTTACGGAGACCCGATTATCCATTAGCTTTTTCCTTTTCTTTTCCTTTTTTCCGGACTCTCACGTGACT